CGAACGCAGACGCATCGCCGACCTTCCCCGTCCACAGCAGAGTGGGGAGGTCTCCGGCCGGGAGACCCTGGGGTGAAGGTTGAGCTGATGCGCCGCGTACCTCACCGCAAATGGCCACAAAAATGGGGGGCAGCCGCATGCATCGTGGACGTACGAGCGACGTCCATGACCATGCCAATGCGGCGCTCAGCAATCCCATTTTGCTGTGGAGAGTCCGGAAGCGTGAAGGTCTGGCGGATGCATCGTGCACGACAGTAGGCTCGCTGAAGGCCAGAGGAGAACTCTCCGCCTCGGTCATAGTGCAAACGAAGAACAGGAAAGTCCGAGCCGAAGCTCCTCCTGAGCTGGAGACGAGCCGCGCGGATCCAGTCGATCAACACCTCAATGACATCACCCTTGCTGCGCAAGGGAAGACTGTGGTGTAACGCGAGTAGTCGTCAACCACCAGCAGGAAGTAGCGCTCGTGACCCTGTCCACGGACGCGGGCCGGGGCCCCACACGTCCATATGAAGCGTCTGCAGAGGAGCCTCTGTCGGGGGAAACTGGGAGGAGTGAGGCAGCCCGGAGCCGCCCCTCGACACAGGGGACACAGGAAGGTCCTGGCCCCGAAGGAAGGGGAGGGAGAGACCGGGGGAGACAGAGACAAGGACACGGGAAACCATGCCCCGAAGACGAGCAAGGAGGGGTGGCCAAGACGGGGTGCCACAAGAGAGTCTCGTGAGACAGGAGGCGACACGAGCAGGGGGCAGACTCAAGACCAGACCTGGACGCAGCAGCAAACACCTGACCCGACGCAGCTACCTGGCCAGACGCAGGGACTGGAGGAGAGACTCAATGGTCAGGGTGTAGAGACTAGACCCGGCCGACGCGAAAAGGTGGCTAGGTGTCGGCCTGTGCGGGCGTCCGAGCAGGGGTCCCCCGCTGACTCGCAGGAGTAAACTGGTGAACCCCGCATCCTGCAGGTCAGCACCACTCACCAAGTTCGTCGAGAACGAGGGTAGGTACAGACCCGACAGGGTGCCCGAGGGGGCAGCCGGAACGGGAGGACAGTGGAGAAGTGACGGAGGACAGTGGAGAAGTTAGCGAGGACAGGACCCCAGAGGGGTCAGCCAGGAGACTGCAACCGGCCGACCAAGCGGCGTGAGTGTGGTGCGGTCTCGAAAGAAGGAGCGAGAAGCCCCTGAGTCAAGTGTGAAGGTGAGGGAGGCCGAAGCCGACGCGCGGTACCTGAGATAGCAGCCTCACTAGTACCTGAGAGCGCAGCCTCACTAGTACCTGAGAGCGCAGACGCACTGGCACCTAGAGCAGTAGCCTCACAAGCACCTAGCGCAGTAGTACCAATGCCCGGGTCGGGCGGGAAACACGGTAACAGTCACCCTCATCACTAATAGTCACAGCATACATGGCAGCAAGGATAGCATCAAAGTCAAGATCAAAGATAGCCACGCCAGCCCTAGACAGCTCTCCCCAGCGGGGGATCTCCGTGGCCTCCGAAACTGCTGACGCCAAGCGTCTGTCAGGCGGCCAAAACAGCGCTGGGTGGGGTGGGCACCCCCACACTGCTCACACCGCGCGGTCGCCGGTGCGAAGGACGTAGGTGCAGGGACCAAGTCCCCCACCACGCTGACGCTGCGTGTACCACTCACGGAGCCGCTGAGGGGTGGGGACGTCGCGAGAACGCTGCTAGCTGCTGCTGGCGCTGACCACCCCCAGTGCCGCTCCGCTGTGAAGTGCCACTCCGACCACCTCCACCACCTCCTCCTCCACCGCCTCCACCTCCGCCACCGCCGCCACCCCCGCCGCGGTACCGCCGCCGCCGACGCCGCCTCCGCCACCACTGCTGCCACTAGCACCCCCACCCCGCCACCTCCTCCACCGCCACCCCCACTCCCTCCGCCGCCTCCACCTCCACCGCCACCACCCCCGCTAGCCCCACCCGCTCCCTTGCCCCCCTTGCCTTTGCCAGGGCGACGTCTCCGCTAGGGAAGACGCCGCACCGACCGACTCAAGACCAACGAGGTCGGCCGCAGCGGAAGAGGCGATAGAGGGCAAGAGAGGGGAAGGAGAACACCCCTCAAAGATGGGGGCGCGGGGGTCACCTCGAGAGGCCCCAACAGCGACGATGCTCTTCTCCGCCGCTAGGAGGGCCTTCTCTAGGCTGTCGACTGTGAAAGTGGTGGGACAGACCGAGGAAGTGGTCCCGGACTACACGAAGGGAGTCGGGGAGGCGGTTGACTAAAAAGTAGAGAGTGATGTAACATGGGGGGGGGGGTTCTTGGCGCAGAAGTCAATAGGAAGCGCAGCGCGGTAGCGGGTGTCACTAGTGCGGAGATGCGTAATGAGATCAGCGACTGTGGGAAAGGCGGCAAGGTAAGGGGAAGAGGAAGGGTAGCATGAGGCGGCTCAGTGACAGCAGTGGCAGGGGAGGAGTAGCGCGCACCGACAGCGTCATACAAGGTCTGAGCACTCTTGTATTGACTGAAAGTGCGCATGCTCAGAGGTAGGGAGGTGGCGACGCACAGCAAGACGTGCAGCAGCATCGCGCGTAGCCCACTGGGAGCGAACAGTAGGGTCAGCATCAGCAGCAGGGGCAGGGTAAGCGCCAGAGGTAATGTCAAAGAGAGAGAGGCCGTCTGCCCTATCCCACTGTAAGAACAACTGAGGTCATCTACCCAGACCTCAAAGTCAATGGCCCGACCCTCAGCGCCAAAAGCGAGGAACACTGGGGGTAGCCATGACGACAGACGCCTAGCAGTGCAAGCAGTAGGGTGAGGGCAGCGCATGTGAAAAAGAAGGCTCTTTGCTCACCAGGCTGGGTAGAACGGGCCGTATGGAAGTAGGGCAGCTCAGCGGCCGGCGGCTCGGCTGCGGGGCGGCTCGGCTGCTCGGCGGTTCGGCTGCTCTGCTGCTGGGGCGGCTCGGCTGCGGGGCGGCTCGGCTGCGGGGCGGCTCGGCTGCTCGGCGGCTCGGCTGCGGGGCGGCTCGGCTGCTCGGCGGCTCGGCTGCTCGGCTGCTAGGCGGCTCGGCGGCTTGGCTGCTCGGCGGCTCGGCGGCTCGGCAGTCGGCTGCTGGGCGGCTCGGCGGCTCAGCGGCTGGGGCGACCCGGCGGTCGGGCGGCGGGTGGGCCGCAGGTAGGCGGCTGGCGGGCCCGCTGAGTAGGGCGGCGGGGCCGTCGATGTAGGGTAGGGCGGCGGGGCCGCGAAGTAGGGTAGGGCGGCGGGGCCTTGACGTAGGGCGGCGGGGCCGTCAACGTAGGGCGGTGGGGCCGCAACGTAGGGCGGCGGGACAGTCAAAGTAGGGCGGCGGGGGCCGCTACGCAGGGCGGCGGCGCCGTCGAAGGGTAGGGCGGGCGGGGCCGCGACGTAGGGTAGGGCGGCGGGGCCGTCGAAGTAGGGCGGCGAGGCCGCGACGTAGGGCGGCGGGGCCGTCGAAGTAGGGCGGCGGGGCCGCGACGTAGGGCGGCGGCGCCGTCGAAGGGTAGGCGGCGGGGCCGCGACGTAGGGTAGGGCGGCAGGGGCCGCGACGTAGGGCGGCGGGGCCGTCGAAGTAGGGCGGCGGGGCCGCGACTTAGGGCGGCGGCGCCGTCGAAGGGTAGGGCGGGCGGGGCCGCGACGTAGGGCGGCGGGGCCGCTAGAGTAGGGCGGCGGGGCCGCGACCGAAAGGCGGCGCAATGGGCCGCTGGGAGGGGGGGAGGGCGACACTACGGGTCGCTAAAAAAAAAAAAAAAAACGCGCCTCGGGGCGCGCTTCGGTGGGCCCAAGAAACAGTCCCTAGGAGGGGACCTGCTCTAATTCCATGTTAGAATGAAAACGAGGATGAATCAACTATGAAAGAGTTGGGTACAAGTACTAACCCTGATTGGGTTGTACCCCTTATGGGCTACCCCACTATAGCCTACACAATATGCATAAGCTATAATGTTCCGCCCTCAAACTTCTTGCCACAGAACTTGCACAGCTTGGGGTTGCCTTTGGTGTGAAACGGAATGAGGAAATGTTTCAGAATGGGGTGAGATAGTCCAGCCTCAACAGGATCCGTGTTGACGGTAGTAGAGTCATGGACAGAGGCTGGATTGTTGTTCGTCGAAGTACTAGGGGCTGAGCCTGACGCCATGGCGCACTACGTAAGTCTAACTAACGAAGAAGAGTGGAGAAATGCGGGAAGGAAATGGAAGAGCATTTGCGCAACGTCGACCTATACGTGCAAACGATGGAAGCACATTTGAAGGGGGTGGTTGGGATTGAGAGGTTGGGTGGGGTGATGTGTGGTTGAGGGGGTGGGAAAGTTTGGATTTTGAAATTCGAAGTTCAGAAGTGGGGTTGGGCACATGAGCGAAGTCGCGGTAACACTTCGCGACTTCGCACATCGTTGCGAAGTTTTTCAATTTCGGATTATTTTTTTTCGCCGGGCTGCCCGGCCGTATTTTTCGCGAATTCAGAGCGTATCAGCGTATCACGCATATACGCTAGCGAATATACGTGATACGCCAGCCTTTCATGAGCGTATCTGCCAACATAGGAAGCAGGGAAAGGGATGGGGGGGAGCAGGGCAGAGGGTAGGGGGAAGCAGGGAAGGGGATGGGGGGAAGCAGGGAAGCGGATGGGGAGAAGTAGGGAAGGGGATGGGGGGAAGCAGGGAAGGGGATTGGGGGAAGCAGGGAAGGGGATGGGGGGAAGCAGGGAAGGGGATGGGGGGAAGCAGAGGGAATGGGGATGGGGGAAGCAGGGAAGGGATGGGGAGAGCAGGGCAGGGGGTGGGGAGAAGCAGGGAATGGGATGAGGGGAAGCAGGGCAGAGGGTGGGGGGGAGCAGGGAAGGGGATGGGGGGGAGCAGGGTAGAGGGTGGGGGGAAGCAGGGAATGGGATGGGGGGAGCAGGGCAGAGGGTGGGGGGAAGCAGGGAAGGGGATGGGGGGGAGCAGGGCAGAGGGTGGAAGGAATCAGGGCAAAGGGGGAAGCAGGGCTGGTGGGAGAACGGGTGGTTGGGAAAAACAGAGACAGGGGGCAACAATTTGGGGGAAGTGAGGGCGATGAGGGGAAGCGCGTGGGGGAAACGAACATCTGCATACCCTTCTGTCCTATCCCCTCTGTGTCTCTCATTCAGTCCCTTCCCCTCAGGAGGAAGAAGGGTGGAAGAAAGGGTGAGAGAGAGGTTCGAAGAAAGAGAGATAGAGAGAGGGAGAGGGAGGAGGGAGAGATGGAAGGGAGGAAGAGGAGAAGAGCGTATGACAAGCGGAATAGAATGTGGGGAGGAAGGCGGGTGGTATGTGGGGGAGATGGAGGCGGGTATGTGGGGAGGCGAGGGCGACGGGCAGAAGCGAGGGCGATATGGCGACGAGGAAAACGAAGACGTTGAGGAGGAGAGCGAGAGATGAGAAGAAGCGCGGGTGACGGGGAAGCAAGGGCGACGACGGGAAGCGCGGGTGACGGGGAAGCAAGGGCGACGACGGGAAGCGCGGGTGACGGGAGAGCAAGGGCGACGACGGGAAGCGCGGGTGACGGGAGAGCAAGGGCGACGACGGGAAGCATGGGTGACGGGGAAGCAAGGGTGACGACAGGAAGCACGGGCGACGGGGAAGCAAGGGCGACGACGGGAAGTGCGGGCGACAAGCAGAGGCGAGGGCGGCGAGGGTCGGCGAGGGAGATGAGGGAAATTGCGGGCGACGAGGAAAGCGGTATGACGTGGGAAAGAGCGGCCGACGAGGGGGAACATATGAGACTAACGGCAGCGCGCGTCTGGCGACCCTGTACGGCATTCGCGTGAGCGACCCGTGCCTAAAACGGTACGATCGAGTCGCGAGGCTGAACCGCAGCAAGTGTGAAAAGAGCATCTTGTGCGACGCGAGCTTGAAAGCAAGGCGCGAGTAACGCGACGATTGTTCACTAACGTAAGTGCTGCGGGTGAACGGGTTGTAACACGAGACCGGCAACGTGAGGGGGAAATCGGAGCGTGCACTAACTAAGATGGTTGAGGTGGATACCTATTTTTTTTTCCGCACAAATAAAAAGCCCTAACAACGACTCGCTTTTGCCAACTAGTGCTAGTTTTTGTCTTGGAGCCTCCTAGTCTATGAGTACGACTTGGTAAGCAAGTTATGTGAGTGGTGAACAGTGCATATGGTTGGCGATTCTGTTTTTGGGCACTCGGGTTTAGGGTTTAGGGTTTTTGGGCGATTCTGTTTTTGGGCACTCGCGTCAGTTCTGTTTTTGGGCACTCGGGTTCCGTTGTCGCAGGACGATTGCGTCGGGTTGCGAGATTTCTTCAAAACAAGTAGGGTAACCCTATTTTTTGCGATTTCAAGTTCAAGAATCTTGAACTTGAAAATTACCATGCTGTACCCGGGCTTTAAACAACGCAAACAGTGCTATTAGCGTAGTGGTCTAAGATTGCGGCCTGCTACCGGTAAGAACTCAGGTTCGAGTCTCAATCGAGAGAGGTTAACTAGTGTGAGTTGAGCTCTTTGCAGGAATCTTGGCCCGAACACCCCTGTACCTACATTCGATTTCCTATACCCCCTACATCTTGGAAAGTCCGAATCAGTGTGACTTGATGCCTTGGTGTTACCGGTACGCCTCAAGGCCCCCGGCCTTCTTCGGCGTGAACGGTATCGGTGCTGCAAACGGTGACGTGCTCGGTTGGATAAAACCCTTGGCGAGCAATGTTAAGAACTAAGGCAAGAATGATGAGATTAGGTCAAGGTTGGGGTACAAGGCTAGAGTGTCGAGAAAGTTTCTGTACCCTCTAAGGCTAGCCCCAATATAGCCTAGATAATGATATGCATATGTTTTGACACACCCCCATAGGCGAAATGGGGGAAAGCCAGAGCAAGCAACGGTCACAAGACCACTCAAGAGAAGAAACAAAACACAGCTCACGGTGGATCAAAACGTCACCACACACACTGAGCACAAGCAAACGGCCACAAGGCCAGTCCACATGCAGAGTATATAAGCAACAAGAATAGCACAGTGATCTCTAGCTAGCAAGATCAACCATGCAGGTATATATATGTATAGATCACATTACAAGTAGAGTCTACAGCAAGTGTGGAAACGTAGGCACAAGGCCCAAGGCAATGGCGGCCTTGTTGTCTACGTACAGAACTGGAGGAGAACGAGGCTGCTCTCCCAGGTCGGTCAGCAGGTAGGTGAGCCAGCGTAACTCCTGTGCAGCCATGGCTGTGGCGTAGATCTCAGCCTCACAACTGCAGCAAAGAACAGAAGACGAGCGTGTAGACCGCCAAGAAATAGAGCCGGAACCAAGGCTGAACGTGTAACCCTGTGACGACCGCTGTGTAGCCTGGTCGTCAACCCAAGAAGTGTCCAACACAACTGGACTCCTCCCTCCAAGCACGAGCCCCATGCCCGATGTACTGCACAAGTAGCGCAACACCCTCTTAGCAGCATCCATGTGCACCTTTCGGTGCCGACCAGGAGCCACGTAGCGAGCCAGAAGGCCAAGAGGGTACGCAAGGTCAGGACGAGTGCAGGTCATCAAGTACATGAGGCAGCCCACTAGCTCTGGGTAAAGACCACTCGGCTCTACCGACTCGTCCGAAGGTGGAGTTGAGAGCAAGTGACCCGTAGCCAGAGGAGTGTCCTGTGCTGAGGACCAGGTGAAGCCGAAGCGCTGAAGGACCTACTGCACCATGTGTGACTGAGTCAGTGTGATGGTGCGGCGTGCTCTGTCCCGAGTGATCTGCAAGCCAAGGTAGCTGCGCAGCTAACCCAGGTCTGTGCACGTGTGTCTCTTCTGCAGCTCTGACTTCACCAGGGCTAGAGCCTTAGTGTCAGCAGTGGCAAAGACCAAGTCGTCGACGTACACGAGGATGTAGAACGGCGGCAACGAAGTGTCGGTGCGTAGAAACAGCGACGGGTCAGCAGTCAAAGGAGCAAACCCAAGAGCTGCAAGTGTCATCCTCAGTGTGTCGTGCCACTCACGTGGCGCCTGGCGGAGACCGTAAACCGGCCGCCGGAGGCTCCACTGGGTACCAGGAGGGAACGACCTAGTGAAGCCGGGTGGGCGGCGCAGCCAGATCTCCTCGTGCAGGCTGCCCTGTAAGAAGGCTGTGCTGAAGTCAAGCGAGTGAAGCTCGTAGTCACGCTGAGCGGCAACGTGCAGCAGCACCTGAAGAGTGGTCATCTTCGGGTTGGGGGAGAATGTCTGGAAGAAGTCAACTCCCTCTTGCTGACTGAAACCACGAGCAACGTAACGAGCCTTGAAGATAGGCGGAGAACCTGGCAGCGGCTTTACCCTGAAAATCCACATGCCACTGATGATGTTCGCCCCAAGAGGGGGAACCTCGTCAACGTAGGTGCCTTTGGTCTTCCAGGATGCCATCCCTGCGTCCATGGCTGTCTGCCACTGAGAGGAATACTCACCCGCGATCGCCTCAGCGTAAGAGCGCGGGGTCGGGATGTCTGGTGCATCCGGGTTGGGGGAGAATGGCAAGCAGCATGGCCACGAGATGAGACGCAGCGGTCGCAAGACACTCGAGGTCCTCCTGCCTGTCCTCAAGGACGTCCGTGCTAAGAGCACACGCACCCCGACGGACGGAGGACAGACAGACTCAGACTCAGCAACAAGACTAGCAGCGTAGTCTAGACGACAGGCAGCAGCAAAGTCAACCAGCTCAGCGACAAAGGCAAACGCAGCAGTAGACTCAAACGACGGGTCAGTGACTACAGTGGCTAGCAGACGCGTGACAGTAGGGTGCTCAGCATGAATCCGGTCAGACTCAGGGTCTGTAACGACAGGCAGAGAAGACGTAGGAGGAGACGGCAGAGGAACACGCTGCGGAGGAGAGGAAGGACGACGGACTACAAGGGAAGGGTCGGGGACTGCCGGTTGACGCTGGCGAGGAACACGACGACTGGAACGACCAGAACGGACAGGTGAGATAGCAAGGCCCCCTGTCTGCTTAGTGTAAGGAGAAGGAGCAGGCAGATGTGAGCCAGGCTGTAACGGAAGACCAGTAGACGACGAGAGGCTAAGAACCTGGCGAAGTATGGAGTCAGGCGGTGGCAGAGACTACCGAGACAGCGGAGCAAAGAACAGGTGCGGCTGTGCAGTGCCACCAGCACCAGCAGCTCTAGCACCTTCAGCAGCTCCAGCACCTCCAGCAGCTCAAGCACCCTCAGGAGCTCCAGCACCTCCAGCAGATCCAGTACCCTCAGCAGCTCCAGTACCTCCAGCAGCTCCAGCGTCCTCAGCAGCTCCAGCACCTCTAGCAGCTCCAGTACCCTCAGCAGCTCTAGTACCTCCAGCAGCTCCAACACCCTCAATACCTCCAGCCCCTCCTGGTGCAGCACCCCCAGAACTAGCACCTCCAGGCCTAGGGTCTCCAACCGTAGTGCCACCAGCAGCAGTACCCTCAGACACACCACCGTCAGCCCCAGCAGCTCTAGTACCCCAAGTACGAGCACCTCCAGGACCAGCGACACCAGCACCTCTAGCAGGCAAAGGACCAGCACCACTCCCAGCTCCAGTGACGCCAACAAAAGAACCCCCAGCAGTAGAGCCCTGAGGTGCAGAAGCGCGACGCTGATGGCGATCGTACCAATCGTGCAGCTGCTGGGAGGTGAGAGGCATACGCGGACGAAGACGGCTACTCCAAGGAGACCGCGGAACATCAGTCTCAAAACCCTCAGGCGACTCACCCCCAGACTCAGTACCCCCAGGCGTAGCACCCCCAGACGCAGCACCCCTAGGCTCAGGACCTCCAGGCTCCTCACGCGCAGGCTCAGCACCTCCAGGCTCCGCACCCTCAGGCTCCTCATGCTCAGCACCCCCAGACTCAGCACCCCCACGCTGCGCACCCCCAAGCTCCGCACCCCCAGGGACAGCACCACTCCAAGCAGAACCGGAGTCACCTGTGACCTCAACAGGCGCAGAGACGGGAGGGTCTACCTGAGAAACACCTGAGGGAGCAGGGCCTGGCGCACGGAGGGGGTCTACGTGGGGAGGACCTGGGGCGAGAAAGAGCGGCGGGAGGGGGCGAGGAGCAGTGCGATAGGGGAAGAGGCGGTAAAAGGGGACCGACTCGTCAAAGGTGACGTCCTGAGACGCAAAGACACGGCGCAAGGCGGGGTCGTAAAACTGTCAGCCAGGTGCGTCAGGGACAAAGCCAAGGAAGACGCAAGGAATGGCGCGAGGGGAGAGTTTGTCCGCAGCGGTATCGCGGACAAAAGCACGAGCACCCCAGACCCGGAAACGCGACGCGTCGCCAACCTTCCCCGTCCATAGCGGTGTGGGCGAGGTCTCCAGCAAGTAGACACGCGGCCGAAGGTTGAGCTGATGCGCGGCGTACCGGACCGCAAACGGCCACAGAAAATGGGGGGCAGCCGCATGGATCATGGAGGTACGAGCGACCTCCATGACTAAGCCAATGCGGTGCTCAGCAACCCCATTCTGCTGCGGAGAGGTCGGAAGCGTAAAAGTCTGGAGGATGCCGTGCTCTGCACAGAAGGTCGCCAGGAGGTCTGAGGAGAACTCACCACCTCTGTCAGAGTGCAGACGCAGGACAGGAAAGTCCGACTGGAACCGCTCGCGGAGCTAGAGACGAGCAGCGCGGATCCAGGGGATCAAAACATCAGGGACATCCCCCTTGCGCTGCAAGGGGAAGAACGTGGTGTAGCGCGTGTAGTCGTCGACAACCAGCAGGAAGTACCGCTCGTGGCCCTGTCCACGGACGCGGGCTGGGCCCCACACGTCCAGGTGGAGAGTCTGCAGTGGAGCCTCTGTGGGAGGGAACGAGGAGGAGTGAGGAGCGGCGCGCTGCCGCCCCTCGATGCAAGGAATGCACGGCGGCGCAGGCGAGGGAGGGAGGGCAGGCAGAGACCTGGGAAGACCAGAGAACAGGAAGCGAGAGTGCATTTTACATAGGGGAGGCAGGGAGGGGTGACCAAGGCGGTGGTGCCACAGGAGAGTGTCGTGCGATAGCCGGTGACACTCACACTGGGTAGCTACCTGAGCAGACGCGTGTAACTGGGGAGACAAAGGGGCGGAGCGCGACGCAGTGGTGAGGGTGTACAGACTGGACCCTGGTGCACGAGTGAACGTGGCTAGGTGGCGGTCGGTCCGGGAGCACGTGCAGATCGCCACACGCTGCCGGCCAGGGGTGAAGGTGTCAACCCCCGCATTCTGGAGGACAGCGTTGCTCACCAAGTTCGTAGAGAACGAGGGGAGGTGGAGACCAGACAGCTCACCAGACGGGACCGCCGGACACGGAAGCACGGTGGAAGACCGTGCAAGCACTGGGCCCCAAGAGGGGTCAGCCAGTGAGACAGGAACAGGTGCAGGGAGGGGAGTGATTGTGGTACTGTTGCGAAAGAAACAGCGCGAAGCACCAGATTCAAGTGTAAAAGTGTGCAAGGCCTGTGCAGGCGCAGTACCAAGGGGAGCAGACTCACAAGCACCTAGTGCTGCAGGCGCTATACCAGGGGCTATACCAGGATCCAGCGGCACACACAAGTAGCAGTCACCCTCAGCTCAAATAGACAATGCATACATAGCAGCAAGAATAGCCTCATAGTCAAGATCAAATATAGATACATCACGCCTAAGCAGCTCTGCCTAGTTGGGGAACTCAGGAGCATCAGGAAACTTGGCGCGCCAGGCGTCGCTAAGCCGAGCAAAGCAGCACTGCTCAGTGTGAAACCCTGTGCACTGGCGACCTGTGCGGGGACCTGTGCGAATGATATAGGGGCAGCGACCAGGACCCCCAGAAGCCCCACGTCCATCATACCAGTCAAGAAGCTGCTGGGAAGTGGGGGTCTGGCGCTGACGCTGCTGCTGCTGCTGCTGCTGCTGCTGCTGCTGCTGCTGCTGCTGCTGCTGCTGGAGCTGCGACTGCTGCTGGCCCTGACCACCACTGCCACCACCGCTCCCTCCTCCCCCACCACCGCTCCCTCCTCCCCCACCACCGCTCCCTCCTCCCCCACCACCGCTCCCTCCTCCCCCACCGCCGCTGCTACTACCTCCACCGCTCCCAGTGCCTCCGCCGACCCCACCACCACCTCCACCACCTCCAACCCCGCGACCACCTCCACCATCTCCACCTCCCCCGCCGCCTGCACCACCGCCACCTCCACCGCCACCCCCACCTCCCCCGCCACCCTTGCCGCCCCTGCCGCTACGACGCTTCCCACTAGGAGTGGAAGCAGCCCCGACCTCCTCAGCACCAAGGTAGTCATGAGCAGCAGCTGCGGAGGCATAGGAGGGGGTGAGAGGGGAGGGGGAGCACCCCTCAAAGAGGGGAGAGCGAGGAGTGCCACGAGCAGCACCAACACCGAGGATGTTCTTCTCTGCTGTGAGGAGGTGCTTCTCGACGTCGTCGACAGTGAGAGTGGGGGGGTCTAGCGCGAGTAAGTGGTCCCTGACTGAGCTAAGAGTGTCAGGGAGGCGGGTGACGAGGAAATAGAGAGTGAAGTACATCGGGGGGGGGGGTGCGGTGCGGAACTCAGCTGAAAGGGCGGCACGAAAGCGAGTGTCAGTAGTGCGTAGGTGGGAAATGAGGTCCTCAGCAGTGGTGAACGAGGAAAGGTCGGGGAACAGGTAGGGTAGCATGAGCCGACCTATGGCTGCAGTGGCCGGGGAGGAGTAGCGCGCAATTACAGCATCGTACAGCGTCTTAGCAGTTTTGTGCTGGCTGAAATGCGCGCTCTCAGTAATCGGCAGATGGTTCTTAATAGCTAGGCGTGCAGCAGCATCGCGAGTCTGCCACTGCGAGCGTTCGAGAGCAGGAGCCTCGGCAGCAGGAGCAACGGCAGTGCCAGACACGTAATCGAACAGTGAAACGCCCTCTTTGGCATCGGTCAGGAGGATCAGTTGGAGATCATCTAACCACACAGCGAACTCTATGGGGCGACCGTCAGGCTCGAACGCAAGAACGTTAGGCGTCGTCATAATGGCAGCAGGCAGAGGCAGGAGGCAGCAGGTAGCAGACAAGAGGTAGTAGGCACCAGGCCACAGGCAAAGAGAGAGGCAGCAGGCAGGAGACAGTAGGCAGCAGGCAGCAGGCAGGAGCGGCCGCACGCGAGCTCCTAAAGCAGCGCGCTAAGCAGCAGCGGGCCGCGCAGGCGGCCGAAGCAACGCGCGGCGTAGTGGCGGGCCGCGCTGGCGACAGACGCGGGGCGCGGGGCGACGGCGGGCTGTATGCGACGGCGGGCTGCGCGCGGCGGCAGGCTGCGCGGGCTCTACGCGGGCTGCGCGGGCGACGCGGGCCGGCGCGCGGCGCTGCAGCAGTGGCGTGCGCTAAAAACAGTGACGCGCGCGCTAGCAGTCGAGGCGCGCGCGAAAAAAAAGGTGACGCGCGCTGCAGCTGAGGCGCGCGCGGGCAGTAGGCAAGGCAGGCAAGCACTAGTTAGGGAAACACAGTTAGGTGGGCCCGATTCTTAGGTCCTAGAGACCTCCTGCTCTAGTTACCATGTTAAGAACTAAGGCAAGAATGATGAGATTAGGTCAAGGTTGGGGTACAAGGCTAGAGTGTCGAGAAAGTTTTTGTACCCCCTAAGGCTTGCCCCTTATAGCCTAGATAATGATATGCATATGTTTTGACAAGCAAGTAATCCCGTTGGCTTCGCAACTCCTTGAGCTCTGATTAGCTGACCCGCCACGATGTTCGAAAAGTAGGTTGCGCGCAGGGTTCCAGCTGGATTCTTGAGAAGAAGTGAACGAGAATGGAATGACTATGAACGAAGTGAGTACAAATAGGAAACCCTAATTGGGTTGTACCCCCTATGGGATACCCCACTATAGCCTACACAAATAAGTAAGCTATATGTTCTGACACACCCCCATAGGCAAAGTGGGGGAGAACAAGGGGTCACAAGACCAGTCAAGCAAAGCAAAGCAAAGCTCAGGGTGGATCACAAAGTCACCACACATTCCGAGCACAAGTTCAAAGGCCACAAGGCCAGTTCACATGCAAGATCATATATACAGATATACAAGAGTCAAGTAAGCAAGAGCAAGAGTATATATAGGTGAAGGTACAAGCAAGGTCAAGAAGTGAGTAAGTGAGGCAAGACAGGCACAAGACCCAGCTGCGTGCAACAACGCTGATGATCACAAGGCGCAAGTGCCTTGGTGAAAACATCAGCAGTGTTGGCCTCAGAGGCCACGTACGCAAGTCGCAACTGTCCACGCTGCTGTAGCTCACGAGCAAGAAAGTAGCGGAGAGCAATGTGCTTTGTCCTGTGCTCCAGTCGCTGCTCTCGACACAAGGCCAGCATGGCCTTGTTGTCTACGTACAGGACTGGAGGAGAACGAGGCGGCTCTCCAAGGTCGGTCAGCAGGTAGGTGAGCCAGCGAAGCTCCTGAGCAGCCATAGCCCCGGCGTAGATCTCAGCCTCACAACTGGAGCCGAGAACAGAAGACGAGCGAGTAGCCCGCCACGAAACAGAGCCGGAACCAAGGCCGAAGATGTAACCCTGTGACGACCGCTGCGTAGCGTGGTCGTCAGACCAAGAAGCGTCCGCGTGCCCAGTGAGGACCACTGGACTGCGCCCTCCAAGCACTAGCCCCATGCCCGACGTACTGCACAAGTAGCGCAACACCCTCTTCGCTGCAGCCATGTGCTCTGGTCGGTGTCTCCCAGGAGCAACATAGCGTGCGAGAATGCTAAGAGGGTATGCAAGGTCATGTCGAGTGCAGGTCATCAGGTACATGAGGCAGCCAACAAGCTCTGCATACAGGCCACTCGACTCTACTGACTCATCCGAAGGCAGAGCTGAGAGCGAGTGGCGAGTAGGCAGAGGAGTGGCCTGAGGCGAGGAGTACGTGAAGCCGAAGCGCTGAAGGACCTGCTGCACCATGTGTGACTGAGTCAGGGTAATGGTGCGGCGAGCTCTGTCCCGGGTGATCTGCAAGCCAAGGTAGCTGCGCAGTTCACCCAGGTCAGTGCACGTGTGTCTCTTCTGCAGCTCGGACTTCACGTAGGCGAGTCCAGCAGTGTCAGTTGTGGCAAAGACCAAGTCGTCGACGTACACGAGGATGTAGAACGGCGGCAGAGAGGTGTCGATGCGCAGAAACAGCGACGGGCCGGCAGTAGAAGGAGCAAACCCAAGTGCCGCAAGCGTAGTCCTCAGTGTGTCGTGCCACTCACGTGGCGCCTGGCGGAGACCGTAGACTGGACGCCGGAGACTCCACTGGGTACCAGGAGGAAAAGACCCAGTGAAGCAAGGTGGGCGACGCAGCCAGATCTCCTCGTGCAGGCTGCCCTGCAAGAAAGCAGTGCTGAAGTCGAGAGAGTGCAGCTCGTAGTCACGGTGAGCAGCAACGTGCAGCAGTACCCGAAGAGTGGTCATCTTCGAGGTGGGGGAGAAGGTCTCAAAGTAGTCAACTCCCTGCCGCTGACTGAAGTCACGAGCCACGTAACGCGCCTTGAAGACAGGCGGAGAACCCGGCGGCCGCTTCACCCTGAAGATCCACATGCCACTGACGATGTTCGCCCCAGGAGGGGGAACAGCGTCAACGTAGGTGCCTGTGGACTTCTAGGAAGCCATCTCTGCATCCATAGCTGCCTGCCACTGAGAGGAGTAGGGACCCTCTATCGCCTCCGCGTAAGAGCGCGGAGTCGGGATGTCTAGTGCATCCGGGTCTCCCTCAGGGGCGAGAAGAACAGACGCGAGATGAGGTGAAGCGGCGGCCAGACACTGGAACTCCTCCTGCCTGTCCTCAAGGACGTCCGTGCCTAGGGCACACTCACCCCCGACGGACGGAGAATCGGCAGACTCAGACCCAGCGACAAGACTAGCAGCGTAGTCTAGACGACAGCGCGCAGCAAAGTCGACGAGCTCAGTGACAAGGGCAGACGCAGCAGAAGACTCAAAAGAAGGGTCAGTGACAGCAGTAGCAAGGAGACGTGTGACAGTGGGACTGGCAGCACGAAGAGAGTCCGACTCCGGGTCGGCAAGAGCAGGAAGAGAGGACTCTGGAGGAGAAGGCAAAGGGGCACGCAGAGGAGCAGTGGACGGACGCAGAGACATCCGGTGCGTGCCAGGGACAGGAGGAGGACGCTGACGCGAACTGCGACCACTAGTGCGTGCAGGACGAACAGGCGACGCAGGACGAGACGCAGGCTCACGACGCTCAGTAAGACCTCCAGTCGGACCAGCGTAGGGAGAAGGAGCAAGCAAAGGGGAGGCAAGCTGTAGCTGTGACTGGGACTGGACAGGCCATGGACCCTCAAAGGGAGGCGGAGGAGGACCAAGAGAAGGTGTAAGACCAAGAACCTGCTGCAGGAGCGGAACGAAGTACGGTCGGGGCCATGTGGTGACGCCAGAAACAGCAGGGACAGCACCAGAACCCCCAGCAAGAGTACCCGCTCCAGCAGCACCTCCAGCAGGACCTCCAGCAGCACCAGGAGCACTGCGAGTCGGACCGCCAACAGTAGTCTCAGTACCAACACCCTCAGCAGCACCAGCTCCAGGAGAACCCTCAGGCCCAGCAGCTCCAACACCCACAGCACGAGCACCTCCGGGACGCGCGGCAGCAGCACCCTTTGCAGCCGAAGAACCTCCAGCACCAGCAGCACGCCTCCAGCGCCGGGCAAACCACTCACGCAGCTCTTGTGGGGAGAGTGGCTCTCGGCGAGACGAAGCACCTCCAGGCGGAGAACCTCCAGGCGAAGAACCTCCAGGCGCAGCACCCTCAGGCAAAGCACCTCCAAGCGGAGCACCCCCAGTCTCAGCACCCCCAGGCTCAGCACCCCCAGACTCAGCACCCCCAGGCTCAGCACCCCCAGACTCAGTACCCCCAGGCTCAGCACCCCCAGGCCCAGCACCCCCAGGCTCAGCACCCCCAGAATCCGCACCCCCAGGCTCAGCACCCCCAGGCTCGGCTCCCGCAGCAGTACCAGAGTCACTAGTGACCTCGACAGGCTCGACCGCGTCTACCTGGGACACACCTGAAGGGGCAGGACCCTGAGGGGGGAGGGGGTCTACCGGGGGGGGACCTGGTACCAAGAAGAGCGGGGGCGGGGGAAGGGAAGGAGTGCGGTAGGGGAAGAGGCGGTAGTAGGGTACCGACTCGTCGAACGTGACGTCCTGGGAAGACAGAACACGCCGAGAGGTGGGGTGGTAGAACTGCCACCCAGGGGCGTCGGGGGGGAACCCCAGGAAGACGCAGGGAGCAGCGCGAGGGGACAGCTTGTCCGCAGCCAAGTCGCGGACAAACGCCCGAGATCCCCAGACTCGGAACGTTGACACATCGCCAACCTTCCCCGTCCACAGCAGGGCTGGGGAGGTCTCCGGCCTGGAGACCCTGGGGTGGAGGTTGATCTGATGCGCCGCGTACCTGACCGCAAACGGCCACAGAAAATGGGGGGCAGCCGCATGCATCATAGACGTACGAGCGACGTCCATGACCATGCCAATGCGGCGCTCTGCAATCCCATTTTGCTGCGGTGAGTCCGGAAGCGTGAAGGTCTGGCGGATGCCTCGCGCACGACAGAAGGCACGCAGAAGGCCAGAGGAGAACTCTCCGCCTCTGTCCGAGTGCGGACGCAACACAGGAAAGTCCGAACCAAAGCTCTGCCTGAGCTGGAGACGAGCCTCGCGGATCCAGTCGATCAGCACCTCAGTGACATCACCCTTGCTGCGCAAGGGGAAGACTGTGGTGTAACGCGAGTAGTCGTCAACCACCAACAGGAAGTAGCGCTCGTGACCGAGTCCACGGACGCGGGCAGGGCCCCACACGTCCATGTGAAGTGTCTGCAACGGAGCCTCTGTCGGAGGAAACTGGAAGGAGTGAGGGGCAGCACGCTGGCGCCCCTCGACACAAGGGACACAGGCAGGGCCAGGGCCCTGAGGAAGGGGAGGGAGTGACTGGGGTAGACCAGAAACAAGAAGACGGGAGGCCATGCCTCTGAGCCGAAGCAGAGAGGGGTGGCCGTGGCGGTGGTGCCAGAGGAGAGTCTCGTGAGACAGACGGCGACACGAACAGGGGGCAGACTCAGGACCAGACCTGGACGCTGCAGCAAAGACCTGACCAGCCGAAGGGACTCTACCAGACTCAGCACCGGGAGGAGAAGCAGTGGTCAGTGTGTACAGGCTCGAACCTGGCTGACGTGTAAACGTAGCCAGGTGGCGACCTGTGCTAGCCTCTGTGCAGTGTGTCACCCGCTGACGAGCAGGGGTGAACTTGTGGACACCCACATCCTGTAGGTCAGCACCACTCAGCAGGTTCGTAGAGAACGAGGGGAGGTAAAGACCAGTCAGGGTGCCAGAGGGAGCCGCCGGACACGGGAGGACTGTGGAGAAACGAGACAGGACAGGACCCCCAGAGGGGTCAGCCAGGGACACCGCAACAGGCCGACTAAGCGGCGTGAGAGTGGTGCGGTCCCGAAAGAAGGAGCGAGACGCCCCAGAGTCAAGGGTGAAGGTGTGAGAGGCAGAAGCCGACACAGTACCTGAGAGGGCAGACTCACTAGCACCTGAGAGCACAGACGCACTGGCACCTAGAGCAGCAGCCTCACCGGCACCTGACACTGTAGTACCAATGCCCGGGTCGGGCGGGAAACACCGGTAACAGTCACCATCATCACTAACAGTCACAGCAGACATGGCAGCAAGGATAGCATCAAAGTCAAGATCAAACACAGCTACACCAGCCCTAGACAGCTCTCCCCAGCGGGGGATCTCAGAGGCCTCCGGAAATTGCTGGCGCCAAGCGTCGGTCAAGCGGGCAAAGCAGCGGCGAGTGGTGTGGGTGCCCCCACACTGCTCACCCGCGCGGTCGCAGGTGCGAAGGACGTAGGCGCAGGGACCGAACGCCCCACCACGCTGACGCTGCGAGTACCACTCACGGAGCTGCTGAGGGGCGGGGACGTCGCGAGAGCGCTGCTGCTGCTGCTGCTGCTGCTGCTGCTGCTGGCGCTGACCACCCCCAGTGCTGCTCCTCTGGGACGAGCCAATCCAACCACCTCCACCACCGTCACCCCCGTCTCCGCCGCCACCGCCGCCACCGCCACCCTCGCCCCCGCCGCTCCCACTGCCTCCTCCGCCACCACCTCCGCCGCCACCTTCGCCTCCACCGCCGCCACCAGGACCTCCACCCCCGCCTCCACCCCCACCGCCACCCCCACTCCCCCCGCCGCCCCCACCTCCTCCGCCACCGCCCCCGCTAGCTCCACCCGCTCCCTTGCCCCCCTTGCTCCTGCCAGAGCGGCGCCTACCACTGGGGGCAGACGCGGCACCGACCGACTCTAAACCAACGAGGTCGGCCGCAGCAGCAGAAGCGACAGAGGGTAGCAGGGGGGAAGGAGAACACCCCTCAAAGATGGGGGTGCGCGGGTCACCACGAGAGGCCCCTACAGCGACTATGCTCTTCTCGGCCGCTAGCAGGGACTTCTCAAGGAGGTCGACAGTGAGGGTGGTGGGACAGACAGAGAGAAACTGGTCCCTAACAGCACGAAGGGACTCAGGGAGACGGGTGACTAGAAAGTAGAGGGTGATGTACATGGGAGGGGGGTTTTCAGCGAGGAAGGCAGCAGGAAGCGCAGCTCGGTAGCGAGTGTCACTAGCGCGAAGGTGGGTAAAGAGGTCAGTGACTGTGGGAAAGGCAGCAAGGTCAGGGAAGAGGTACGGTAGCATGAGGCGGCTCAGTGTAGCAGTGGAAGGGGAGGAGTAGCGCGCAACTACAGCGTCGTACAAGGCCTGAGCGGTCTTGCACTGACTAAAGTGTGCACGCTCGGAGGAAGGGAGGTGGCGACGCACAGCAAGACATGCAGCAACATCGCGTGTGGCCCACTTGAAGCGAACAGTGGGGTCAGCATCAGCAGGAGGGGCAGGGATAGCGCCAGAGACAAAGTCAAAGAGAGAAACCTCATCGATTGCATCGCACAGTAAGTATAGCTGCAGGTCCTCAATCCAGACAGCAAAGTCAATGGCGCGACCCTCAGCGTCAAAAGTGAGGACACTGGGGGTGGCCATTGTAGCAGCTGACAGTCTCACCGGGCAGGAAGAGTCGGGTAGTAGAACGACACAGCAACACGGCAGCACAGCAGCTGCGCCGGCCCAGGAGCCCCACAGGAGCAGAAGATCGGCTCCTTGGGCGGCTTGGGCGGCTTGGGCGGCTCGGGCGGCTCGGGCGGCTCATGCGGCTCGGGCGGCTCGGGCGGCTCGGGCGGCTCGGGCGGCTCGGGCGGCTCGAGCGGCTCGGGCGGCTCGGGCGGCGTGGGCGGCTCGGGCGGCTCGGGCGGCGTGGGCGTCTTGCGGGCGGCTCGCGGGCGGCTCGTGGGCGACTCACAGGCGGCAGCACGGGCGGCTGGTGCGGCTCGTGGACAGCTGCACGGGCGGTTGGGGCGGCGAGCGGGCGGCTCACGGGCGGCTGCACGGGCAGCCGAGGCAGCTCACGGGCGACTGGGGCGGCTGCACGGGCTGTTGGGGCGGCTTGCAGGCTGCTCACGGGCGGCTGCACTGGCGGCCGCACGGGTAGGTGCACGGGCGGGTGCACGGGCGGCCGCACGGGTAGGTGGACGGGCAGGTGCACGGGCGGGTACACGGGCGGGTGCACGGGCGGGCACACGGGCGGGTGCACGGGCTGCTCGTCGGGCGGCGCTAGGGCGGCGCGTGGGCGGCGCGTTGGGCAGCGCGACGTGCGGCGTTAGGGCGGGCAGCGGGCAGCGCTACGGGCGGCGCGTTGGGCAGCGCGACGGGCGGCGCTAGGGCGGCTGCACGGGCAGCGCGACGGGCTGCGCTAGGGCGGCGCGTTGGGCGGCGCTAGGGCGGCGCGTCGGGCAGCGCGTCGGGCGGCGCTAGGCTGGCGCGTCGGGCAGCGCTGTGGGCGGCGCGTCGGGCGGCTAGCGCTAGAGCAGGCAGCGGACGGGCGCTAGGGCGCTAGGGGCGGCGCTCACGTTCGAGGGCGGGCGGTGCGCTAGCGGCTAGGGCAGAAAAAAAAAAAGACGTTTCGAGGTGGTGGGCCCTAAGCACAGGTCCCACAGGGGAACCTGCTCGATACCATGAGAAGAAGTGAACGAGAATGGAATGACTATGAACGAAGTGAGTACAAATAGGAAACCCTAATTGGGTTGTACCCCCTATGGGATACCCCACTATAGCCTACACAAATAAGTAAGCTATATGTTCTGACAATTCTGTGGTCTTCTAGATGCTGAGGTGGCAGGCCGTTGGGCAGGTCGTCCGCGAAAAATTTGGGATACCTCCGAATGATCCTTGCCAACTCCCCAGGGACTACCGCGCAGAGCGTGTCGATGTCAATGATTTTTTCGGCGGCCGCCAGCATCGCCTCTGGCTCCCTTCTTGATCGCTCGTCACAGGCTCCGGGTTCGTCCATTTCGGAAGCCTTATCAGCTTGGTATTTTCTCGCACAGTGCATGCTCCTATCGTCTTATCGATCGTCGGATTGTATCGTTGCAGCCAGTCCCGTCCCTGCAGCACATCGCATCCGTCCAGAGTCGTCGCCAGCATCTTCATTCCGAACACGAAATTGTCGCCATACTTCATCCGAATTTTTCGCACTTAGTCTCGAATAGCCAGCGGTGTCCCATCAACCAATCTGTCGTCCATCTCCGACAGACACCTATGCAGCTTCACCCCATATTGACGAGACTGTGGCTCGCCATACCGTTAACATTTTTTAATATTTTAGAGCCATAACCCTCCCCACTACTTACACAGGGTGGTCCACGTATTCACCCACGTTATTCGTCCGGGTGCCGTTGATAGCTCTAACCGGTACCACGACTTGGTGTGGATGGTGATTGTCGAGCGAAAGGGTCTCGTCAGTAGGGCCCCCGTCTGCTACTGACTCGTATCATTTCCCAACCCTTCATCGTCGTTCCTCTTCCCCTGCTTAAACTTCGGTTAGTCTTTTCTCAGGTGCTTGCATACATAGCACGGCTCGATGGCTCGGCTTGGTGCATCCATGCCGTTGATCGTGGGCTGCTGAGTCGAACCACAAAATCGAGGGCCTTCTCAGGAGCTCGATCTCGCCCACAGCATTAGCACATATGTTGACTCGACTTCCTAGACGGCGTCGTTAAATATGCGTGGCCGCGTTCGTTGGATCTCATATTGTATCTCGTACTTCAAGCCCGCCATGTAGCGATCAAACCACTACGCATTCCTCATGTCGTCCACTTGGTCCGCCAAGTTGCAGAAAGTGCTAGTGTAGTCTTGGACCGAAGTCAGATGCTTCCAGACACGCAGCTTTGTCAGATTATAATGCATGTCTAGTCTGTAGTGGGGTGTGAAAATGAGTAAGCAGGAATGAATGAACTATGAATGAAAGCAGTACAAATATGAAACCCTAACTGGGTTGTACCCCGTATGGGATACCCCACTACAGCCTACACAGCAGTATAAGCTATAGATATGTTCTGACACACCCCCATAGGCAAAGTGGGGGAGAACAAGGGGTCACAAGACCAGTCAAGCAAGACAAAGCAAAGCTCAGGGTGGATCACAAAGTCACCACACAGTCCGAGAACAAGAGCAAGGCCAAAGGCCAGTTCACAAGCAAGAGTACAGACATATATATAAAACTAGACAAGCAAGAGCAGGTATATATATATGTCACAGTACAAGTGAAGTCAAGAGGAGAGCAAGTGAGGCAAGACAGGCACAAGACCCAGCTGCGTGCAGAAGCGCTGATGGTCACAAGGCGCAAGTGCCTTGGTGAACACATCAGCAGTGTTGGCCTCAGAGGCCACGTACGCAAGTCGCAACTGACCACGCTGCTGCAACTCACGAGCAAGGAAGTAGCGGAGAGCAATGTGCTTCGTTCTGTGCTCCAAGCGCTGCTCTCGACACAAGGCCAGCATAGCCTTGTTGTCTACGTACAGCACTGGAGGAGAACGAGGCGGCTCTCCAAGGTCAGTCAGCAGGTAGGTGAGCCAGCGAAGCTCCTGTGCAGCCATGGCTCCGGCGTAGATCTCAGCCTCACAACTGGAGCCGAGAACCGAAGACGAGCGAGTAGACCGCCACGAGACAGAGCCGGAACCAAGGCTGAAGGTGTAACCCTGTGACGACCGCTGCGTAGCCTGGTCGTCAGCCCAAGAAGCGTCCGCGTGGCCGGTAAGGACCACTGGACTCCGCCCTCCAAGCACTAGCCCCATGCCTGACGTACTGCACAGGTAGCGCAATACCCTCTTCGCTGCAGCCATGTGCTCCGGTCTGTGTCTCCCAGGAGCAACATAGCGTGCAAGAATGCTCAGAGGGTATGCAAGGTCAGGTCGTGTGCAGGTCATCAGGTACATGAGGCAGCCAACAAGCTCTGCATACGGACCACTCGACTCTACGGACTCATCCGAAGGCAGAGCTGAGAGTGAGTGGCGAGTAGGCAGAGGAGTGGCCTGAGGCGAGGAGTACGTGAAGCCGAAGCGCTAAAGGACCTGCTGCACCATGTGTGACTGAGTCAAGGTAATGGTGCGGCGTGCTCTGTCCCGAGTGATCTGCAAGCCAAGGTAGTTGCGCAGTTCACCCAGGTCTGTGCACGTGTGTCTCTTCAGCAGCTCGGACTTCACGTAGGCGAGTCCAGCAGTGTCCGCTGTTGCAAAGACCAAGTCGTCGATGTACACGAGGATGTAGAACGGCGGCAGGGA